TTAGGGTTTAGGGTTCAGGGTACTGGCGGTTCTAGAGGCACGGGAGTATTTTGTTAGTCATCCGTATATGCTATGGTCATCAAACAAAGTCTCCGCAAACGGTTCCGAAGGTATGCTAAATCAAGCAAAAAAGGACCTATATCACGGCGTTGCATGGCATGCAGCGTTCGTGGTAGGGTCAGGTGATTTGGGGTAAGGCACGGTCGAAGGATGGGTGTAGTAAGTGGTACTTGCGGGTGTAGAACGAACCAGGAAGTTTGAGGTGACGTGATTAGGACGCAGAGTTCGTAAGGGTTTTGGGGTTTGCAGCAGTCGTGTTTTGGAGTCTACGCTTCGGAGATGTAGTTACCCCTCAGTCACGGATCCCTCGACCCTAACCCCATGAGCTAATATAGCGGCCTTATAATAATCAAAATAGGGTTTTGGGGCCGATTATGTTATACTTATAACAAGGAACCCCCAAAATAGCATTGGCAATTATTAAGGCCCCTATATTAGGGCTTACTCAGTATTGAAACTTACAGCAAATAGCTCAAGGTGCCAAGCCCTTAACCGCTGTCCTTGAATCCACAATCCACAAAGCACCCTGTCTGTGCGGAAGCAGCGCCTCATCCATTGACGTCTACGCGGCGGAGAAACCCAAAGGCCATCAGCTCACAGGAAAGGCTCTCAGGGCTTTTTTAGTGTTTAGGGTCTAGGGTTTAGGGTTTAGGGTTTAGGGTTTAGGGTCTGGGGTTTAGGGTTCGGTGTAAGGTGTCAAGCTGCAGGGGATGCGTCATGATGGACGCGGCTGTACGGATTGCATGCAAGTGGTTGCGGGATTAAAGTGTGGTTTCCGGGATCAAAATCTCAGAAACTACAAGTATCCGGTGCAATGGGTCCCTCTGGCTGTGCTTTAGGGCTCAGCACTTAGAGTCCTAAGTCTTCCAACCAACAAACCCTTACCCGGATAAGATGCAAGCATGGAGAGAAGCCCGCTTTTCGGCTCTGGGTTTCGATCCCAAAAAACCCAGCAGTTGAGACTTGACGGTTTAGGGTTTAGGGTTTAGGGTTCTGAAGGTTTAGAGCTTAGGATTTAGGGCTTGTCGGAATTTCTTTTGAAAGTTTCGGGGTTGAAGGTTCAGGGTTCAGGGTTTAAGGTCGGGGGTTTAGGGTGAGACGCGATGTAAAAGTCACGGCACCCTTGCGAAAACAAGGGCCTTCATGATTTGAAGCAAGCTTGCGTGCATACTGTCCTGGAGCCGTGGGGAAAGTATGCAACTTTTTGCTTCAAAATGCCGCCCCTGTTCATCCAGGGACTACCTGGGGCATCGAGCTCACAGTGCAAGCTCGGATCCCTAGCCTCTCCCAGGGCAATGTAGGGGCCTAAATTATTACCAATACTAGTTTGGCTATAGTAGAATGGGCCCCAAAACCCTATTCTCAGGCCCTTATTTTAAATGTCAGGGTTCAAGGTTTGCGGTGCAGGGACTTCGGGTTTCGGGTGTGGGTTTAGGGCTTGCAGTCCTCCCCCCTCATCCGCCACATCCCCACTCCGGCTTCGTTTCACTCGCAATCGATGGATACCATTCCGTCCATCTCAACCATGCGCCGAGAGGGTGGCCACGTCGGCTGAAGAACCGGCTGTGTGACTGCTAATTTTCTTGCACATACTTCGACATGCCAGGCTTCGGAATTGTGGCTTATAGGATCTACTGTGATGGCTTGGGGGTGTAGTGCCAGCGTAGGGCTTTGGGTCGTGGGTTTACGGAATTGGTTTTTAAGGATGCTCTTTAAGCTGGGTGCGCAGCACTGCGAATTGCTCTCTGGATGTTGAACTTCCACGATCGCTTCAGCTTAGTTCTCCGAAAAGTGTCCATAAAGCGAACCCTAAACCCGGCATTACGATCTTAAAGAAAAACGGTAATACCTCAAACCCTTACAGATCCCTTACGGCAAGTAATCCGTTTAGATCCCGTCTAGTATTGTGGCACTGTCTTAAACTAGGTGACTCTCTTTAATGCACTGTCCGATGGCAAAGAAAGCTGGGTTTCAGGGTTTAAGGTTTAGGGCTCTTGGTAGCTTATCTTGGAGTGATCTGGGTTCTGTTTCAAGGGTTCTGGCCCCTTAAGCTTAGCAAAAAGGACCAGGTATCAGGTATGCCCTCAGCCCTCGTACTATACTACTACTGTACTGCTAGTGTACTAATGTACTAATGCGGCAATGTATTCGAGTACTACTCCTGTACTACTACTGTACTGCTGATGTACTCCTCCTACTTGGAGGTTCATGGGCAGTTATAAGTAGGGTTATAAGTAGGGTGGCTATAGTTATAACCCATATTAGGGGGCTTATATCTCCACTTATAACTACCCATGAACTTCCAAGTACTACTACTACTACTACTACTACTACTACTACTACTAGTACGACTACTAGCACTACTACCACTACGACGACTACCACTACGACTACGAC